TGGAATTTTTACTGCTTGTGGTATGAGCTATCCAATTTTAGGAAAAGTAGATGTTGAATTAAATATAGATGATTTAATTATATATCAAGAATTAACAGTACTTGAGAACTTAACTTTTAATATAATTTTAGGAATAGACTTTCTTAAAGCTAATAAAGCTCATATAAATTTTGAAAATAATACCTTAGCAATTCAAGAAAATTTATTGAATGTACCTTTAAATAATATAGAGACTATAAATGAACATTATGGACATGTTAAAACTATAGCAGAAGAGGTTATTCCCCCACACTGTGAAATTATTATACCTGTTAGGCTTTCTGTTAGGCATAGTAAAAACAGTACAGTAATTATTGAACCAAACTTTTCAAATGATATTAAAAATTTGGTTGGTTCAAAAGTGGTAGTAAATGTACAAAATGGAAAGGCTTTGTACAGAATTCTAAATCCTACTGGATTAAGCATAAAATTATATAGGAATAAGAAAATAGCCAAGGCTTTTGAAATAGACAAAAATGGTATTTTTGCCTTAAATGATAATGATTCAATAGATAAATCTATTAAAGTTAATAAATATCAGAATGTTGAAAAAGAGTTGGGAATAAAAATGAATGAAAACTTAAATGCAAATCAATAAATATGAAGATGAGTGGATGAGATGTTATAACTAAAGATATTCAAGTAGTGTTATAAGCATTCATAAATGCAATGTGACAATGCTTATTCTTTTGTATCGTTGAAAAGTGTTATTTTTGTTCTGAATTTCTGGTTAAAGTACACAATATTCAGAAGTTATAGTGTCTGTTAATTTAATCCTGCTGGACAAATGTATTCATTACATTAGTAGTTCTTACTATTAGATCCTTAAATATTGCAGGTAAACGGCACATCTACTGATGTACTTTAAACCAATTTTACTTCAGATTATACAAAATGTACTTTATCAATGATACAAATAGAACTATCAAGTGGTCCCTATACATACATTGTATATAGGCATCACTATTTTTGAACTGTTGTTTTTTTTATTATGACTTAAATATTTTTAGTGGAAGAGTAATAAATAATTAGGGAGTACCTAAATAGGAAGTACAAAATAAACTGGCGTACAGTTGTTATATAGATAAATTAGAAATAAGAAGACAAACGTATAGGAATTAAGCTAGAATATAAAGAAGGGAAGATAATTAGAAATTCTTACATGTTGTATGTAATTTATGTTGATATTAATAAATAGGTAATATATATATTGGCCTAAAATTGTGGTATTCTAATGAATATTTGAGAGATAAATAAAAATTCCCCAAATTAAAATGAACTTAAGATAATAAGGTATAAGGGTTTTTGGTGTCATGTATGATTATGCTATTGGTTGCACTTACATTGATGAAGTAAAGTACCAATACCCACAAAATGAAGAAATGGTGGACCCATAAAATGAAGAAATGGTGGACCCGCAAAATGAAGAAATGGTGGACCCACAGAAGTGACCAAATTGTGCATTTAAAATTAAAGAAAGACAAACAATGATGGACATATCATATTAGCTAGTGAAAATTTATTTGATATTATAAAACTTATTAGCAGAGATTTGTGACCCGAAGTGACATTTTATTAACTTTACATGAATATTGATGAAGATTAAAAGACAATGTGATATGAAAGTTGATAATGATATCTGCAAAATTACTATGACAATCAAACAGAAGAAGAAACCAGGTGGACATGTATCATGATGTATAAACAATATCGTTGAAAACTAGTAACTTTTTTTTGACTACCAATGGTGAAAAATGTGAAGATTGTACTGTTGGACATTAATTGTCTATATTGAATATGTGTACAAAAGACACTTATATTTGCTTATTGAAATGCTTGCTTATTTTGATATAGAATGCTTGCATGTTTTGATATTGATTATTAATATTTTCTGTATTGTTATTTTAATTATAAATATTTTCTTTCCAAATTATTCACAGGTTAATCATATACAAATGTATATTTCTAAATATGTTTTATGTTCATTATATAAGAAGGTAATATGATTTGAATAATTATGTGTTTAACTTGCAGATGATGACCAATATGGATAATATTAATAATCTTATATTTCAGTTATATATTGCTATTGTTATGCCCCTTTATGCACCTAGAATACTTCATGAAGTATGCAATGAGCTCATTGTCATTAATTATGTGAGAGTTGGACTTGTCAATATTAGTGAACTTCAGAGAACTTCCCTGATATGGACAATCTAAACTTGACCATTCCACATCCAGGAACATGTACATGTATATATATTTAGTAATGTTTTATTACAGGAATTAGTGAATTAATTAATGTTTTCACAATATTTTTTTTCATATATATGTTATATCTTATTGACAGGAATCAGTGATTCAATTGTTTCACAATATATTGTTTTATTTTATTGACAGGACTCAGTAATTAAATTGTTGCTATATAATATGTGTAAAATATTATATTTTTTTTTTTTTTTAATGATGCATTTTGTATTTTAATTGAAGATTGCAGGAGCAATCTTGGCGACGAAGGGAAGGGTATAACCAGTATATTTTAGATGCAAGAATGTTATAATGTGGAATTCAAATAATTCTTATAATTCAGTATTAGTTAAAGATATTTAGCACTAGTTTAGGAAATAATTTACTTGATAAATAATTAATATAAATCTTCACAATTTTAAATAAGTGTAAAGCAAATTATTATGTAATCCCCTGAGGGTTAAATGACAATAGAGAATTAAGGATTAGAGAAGTGTTATATATACAAAAGGGATTTCTTACTTTTTAAGATAATTTAGGTTATGTCACAAAGACTTGATATTTGGGAAAATAGATAAACTAGCATTATAATGTAAAGTAAATATATTGAGTATTAATGTTATGTAAATTGAATAATGAAAAACAATATATATATTGGTTGACCATGTAGTAAGGGACAGATGTATTTTAGAGTTGTGTTTTACAGTGGTGTTTTAGACTTGTGTTTTAGACTTGGATTTAGACAGTTGTATTGAATTGATATTAGACATGCTGTTTTAATATGTCTCATGAACTTATGATGTGATTATTGTGATTGATAACTATACTGAATGCTGATTAATAAACATTATATATAGAACTTGAATCTGTGTTACGTTGACATGTATTCAAATGAAAGCTACCTGCTAGTTCCCCCAACCTAGCAAGATGAGTAACCAGGTCAGGAACAAGCATAGTACTGGCCTTGGTTATACGTCTACAACTTCCAATCACAATTAAAGGATTGAATTATTTTTGCCTGAACTTTCAAATAACCTTCAGTATCTGTTGGCATTGTGTATATTTGTTTCACATCCAAAGGTTCCCCAATCGAAGAATGGACTTTTCCATTTATAAAATTTTTATTACTCATATTGAAGGATGGGTTGGTTCAGCTGATAAGAACATAGAATTAGTTAGAGCAAGATTCTGCATTTATAAATCTTGTAATTTGGTCAATCTTCAACGACCACTTCAATATTTATGTGCATTCATTTTTCTATTTTATCCACTAAGAGGAGTTAAAAGCATAATAAATGTCTGATCTCATTATGTAAATTTATATTTTGAATTGCATGTATAATCAAAATATATAAAATCAATCATACTAAGGCTTGGTACATAACAAGATTTGACAGTAAAAACAAATAAAACCACTAAAATCAGATAAAACCAGATAAAACACAAATCTTGTTATAGCAAAGCCTTATAAAATTTACATTAAAGCTACAGTGGTAATATATATCAGTGTGAACCCCAAATTTATTTTGAATTTAAGTCATTAAAATTTTGTCATAATGAGATCCAACTACTAAAAACATGATTAAAAACAAATATTAAAAACAAATATATTTGAACCAACCTATGGCCAATTAAAATTAATTGATAGATTTTCATCCCCGCCCGCCCCTCTGAAATCGTTCCGCCCCAATTTTTTTTATTTTGAAAAATTTACGATTTCCGGATTTTGTTCATTTTCGTTACCGGTAACTGTCGATAGTTTCGTTTCATTAATAACATCCTGTTTCAAATTTTGGTTTTTGCATTTCTTTGTATGTTTGATTCGTTATACATGTATATACATGATAGAACCTTATTATTACACTTGCATATATGAAGAACACGTCACAAGAGCGTTTCATATCTAATAAAAAATAAAAAATAAAATCCTCCCACCCACCCCATTTTTTTCAAAAATTTGGATGAAAATCTACTAATTAAATTTACTTGGCCTATCCTTCACATGATAAAATGGTGGTATGAGATGCTTCTTTCCCTCTGTTTTCAAATACTTAGGAGGTCCATTCATTACAATTGAGAACCCCAAAATTTCATTATAATAAAATAAAATACACACAGCCATTAGATACAGAATATAATCTGAAAGTTTAAATGAAAACCAAATAGTTTATAAGCTGTGGATGAGAGATGATGATGGACAAACAGACAGACAAATCTTCTTTAATAACCTTTTTATGCTCAACATGAGTGCAGATGGGCATGGGATTTGGTCCTGCCCTGGGTCATATCAAAGAATTGAAAATTGGTATTTGATGCTCCCCTGCTAAGCATTCAGCAGTTAAGAATAGGAGCAAAGACTGGTCAGCTGGAAGTCAGAATAATGTGTTCAGGTAGGGTTAGATGTCTTGTGCAGACTTAATTTTACATTATGAACTAGCACATTAAAAAAATCTTGCATTTTTAATTATTCATCCAAATTCATTCAAAATCAAAACTTCTTTTACAGGACCCTGGTTATACATGTGGAAGGGGTTTGTAATTGTTTAGAAGCTGAGTACAAGCCTCAAAAATCAAACATTAAAATATAAATAATCATAAATGAGAAAAAATATAGAAATCAATCACAAAAAAATGAGAAAATATGACAAACTGCAAAAACTGTATAATTATTTTCACTTGAGTGACCTCAGATGCTGAATAATGCATATATAAACAAATCCAATAAATAAAACTGACAGCCATTAATTTGTATGAATGTAAAGAATGCAGAGTAAAAAAAAAACATCTAACTAAACATTTTTATTTCTAGTTCTTATTGCACCAAAAACCCAGTACTTAAATTGTTTAATAGGGGATTTGTTTTATTCCCTTTTAGTGTTTGGCCATCAAAGTCCTACTTAATAGGTTTCTAACCAGAAAAAATCATTTCACAAAGGACTTATAATTCTTTACCAGTGTACATAACTTAAAAAATATATGTAAACTGAAGCAAGTCTTATGGGTATCTTGTGAAACCATACATCATACCTTTGGGACCTCTCAAATAACAATAATTTCACAGTTTTTTTTTTTATATTTCTTCAACCACAAAACAATAATTGAATGCAAGAAAAATTAATGAAATAAATATTTATAATTTGAATAATAAAGCATTAAAAATTCATTGCATTTATAATTCATTCTGCTTATAAGACAAATATCTGCTGATTTTTTTACAAAAGATAGCAACAGTTTATCCAATGGTTTGCAGGATTGTAGTCTGAGGATTTTACCATACACGGAAGGCAGCAACAGCAACTCTTTCGACTGAAAAAGAAACAAAGTTAAATTTCAATTGTTGATTCTTAATTTTAAAATAATCTAACGGGAATAAAGAAACAGACATCAGTGTATGTTAAACAATTTGTTTATTACTTATATTGATAACTCAAAAATATATAGTATCAAAAATATCCGATTTTATTGTTATCTCCCCTTCATATATCTTCTTCAGATCTAGTATCTGCTTAAACTGGTCCGCCGTTTCATCTATAGCTTCGCACCGAAGGAACGGGTTGGAGCATGGCTTCCAAAACGGTCATATATTCCGGACTTGACCGAAAATTTATATAAAAAGTCCGGCTGCTCTCAGCCTCAAATGGTCAAATATCATAGGTTTGCCACTTTTGTTATTCAAGGCATTTTCATAAAACGGTCATTTCACTTTTTTTACCAACTATCGATCGGTAAAAATGTCTGTTTGGGCATTATAGTTTAAAATTGTGGCAATCTATTTCACAAAGATATTTGGGTTTAATTAAACAGATGCAGCATATTTCATACTTTGAAGTGTCTCAGTTAGTCTAATCATCTGGATACACAAATGCACGGCTTGGTACATCAATAAAAAGTAGAAAAAAACATTTGTTCTTTTATTTAAAAAACAACAAGATGTCAAACAATTATCCCTTCAATAAGTAATATTGAAGCCATAAATCATTCACTAATTACAGGTCATTTACCTTTGATGAGAGACCTTAGCTTGTCTTAATCAATAGAATTGATGATGCATAACAATGAACATAAACAGGTGATAAAGGTGATCAGGTAAACGAGGTCAAACATGTAAGCGTGTATGGAACAACATCCTATTTAATTACGCTTTGTAGATATTATTGTAAATGAGCATTCAGTTTTAAAGAAGTATCCTTAGATTTTAAAATAATTCTTCAAATAAGAATATTTATAAATGAATTCGAATTTGTATGATATTCATTATTATATTTAAAAACACTGTACATCGTGTTAAATACTGGGGTAGGCTAAAGGGTATTTTCAAAATTATTTTCTTACATTTCAGCGGGTTGCATCTAATTAATTTAGTCTAAACGATTGAAATTATAAGAAATATGATTTGATGAAAAATTTGAAAAGGTTTTAAACTAATAATCGTCAGAACCATGTGTTTGAACTAGTACACGTGTGCGCATGTGTCTATTGTCCACTGGTGGGAAATTTAATTATGCATCCTAATTCTTCAATAATGCTAAAATTATCATTGATACCTTTATCCAACGTTCATTTCGAGTATTTTCTTGAAGAAATAACTTGAAAAGGCTACTAAACTCAATCGTAAACTTACACGGATATTACGTATCCGTCTCTGATCCGTGATTTACCATTATCAAGTCAACATCCGGCATTAGGAAAATGTGATTTTAAAAACGAAAGTAAAGCTTTTGACAGCGTTATTTTGCACAAATAAAGAGTCTAAAGCAGAATTAAGCAAAATTAGTACCCTGATGTTGCACACTTCGAATGCTGCACTTTCAATTTAACACTTTACGTCAGAACATCGAATTTATATCAAAGTAAAGTTCAATATCGTTTTAATGTCAATCATTGGTTATATCATATATGATGGCCAACTGATTATCATAGTTGCATAATTTACTAAGTCTAAAGGGATAAAAAATCGGGATAAGATATGAAATGTCCGGCTGGCTCAAAAAAATTTTGGAAGCCCTGGGTTGGAGCCATTGTCACATTGGCATTAATTGGATGAGTCTTACAAATTCAATGATTAGCTAATAAAATAGACCAATTATAGTGATAGGAAATTGACCTCAATTGTTAATACTACGATGCCGCAAAATAAACAAGTATCTGTTAATTAACCCCATGGTGGTAGCGCAGATAAATGACCAACGAGCGTGTTATCATGTTCTTGACAAAATGAGCCGGTATCTTTCATTCCCTTAAGAACTCAGTAGGGATATAAATGTGCTAATTTTTCGTTTGATTTCATATCAGTATAATACATAATAAACATAGCACATGATGCACTAGTCTCGTCGAATTATCAAATCCCGTGGTCAGAATTCTGACCACGGGATTTAGGCCGTACCTGTTGTCAGTGTAGCGATAAGTGAACACAACAGGGGTCCAGTTTAGTATCTGCTTTAAAGGGTACATTATTTTAAAATGAAAAGATTGAATACTGATTTTTTTTAATTGTAAATTAAAAAAAAAAATATATATATATATATTGAAATCTATTTAGTGACATTCATCACACTATAACATAAACACATTAAAGTTGTATGTTGATGAATAAGTTCTCACCTTATAACAGCTTTATCCCAGGAAGTAACCCAATGGAAACCTGATGCTAACCTGGAATATAAAAGTAGTCATACTAAACTTTCCTAAAAAAAATTATTACACATGTACTAAATTTAAAATTGCACTAGGATAAAAAAAAATTCGTAAGGGTTCCGCGGAACCCAGTGTCTCGCCTACTTTTGCTGTTAATCGCAGGCTCAACAAAAATGAGATGAGGAAAAAATTTAATAAAAATATTCCTCTCGATTTAATTTTTTTATTGTAAGAAGCTTCTGTTCAAGTTTGGTAAAAATCCAGGATAGTTTATGAATCAAATAAATGTTTTAAAAAATTTAACTGCAGACTGTATGTAATGTTAACTGGAAGAAAAACTAAGTCCATTTATAAGTAAAATATGGATAAACAAGTACAAAATTTTAATAAAAATTTCCTTCTAGATACTAGCTTTTGATCATAAACAAACTTCTGTCCATGTTTGGTACATATCCAGGATAGTTTAAGAAAGTTATTAAAATTTTAAAAACTTTAACCACAGAGTGAATGTAATGTTTCCTGGCAGAAAAACTAAGTCCATTTATAAGTAAAATACGGAAAAACAGGAATTTTTTTTTTAACTTTACTTCTGGATACTATCTTATGATCATAAACAAGCTTCTGTCCAAGTTTGGTAGAAATCCAGGATAGTTTGAGAAAGTTATTAAAATTTTAAAAACTTTAACCACAGAGTGAATGTAAAAATTTCCTGGCAGAAAAACTAAGTCCATTTATAAGTAAAATACGGAAAAACAAGAATTTTTTTTACAAAATTTACTTCTGGATACTATCTTATGATCATAAACAAGCTTCTGTCCAAGGTTGGTAGAAATCCAGGATAGTTTAAGAAAGTTATTAAAATTTCAAAAACTTAACCACAGGGTGAATATTTGTGGACGCCGCCGCCGCCACCGACGGAATGTAGGATCGCTATGTCTCGCTTTTTTCGACAAAAGTCGAAGGCTCAACAAAAATCATGGAAAAAATATTTGGTATTCTGAATTATAAACTTTTTAAAATTTTTAAAGTTTTATATTTACCAAAAAAATTCAACCGGTATCTCATCAGTGTAAAATTATTTTTTTGGTACTAAAGAACCTTATGAAATTAATTTCAAATATTATATTACTAAAAAGATGCTTGATTACCTACCAACATGTTAACAATATCAGACATCCAAGTCTTACTCCCAACACCATGAAAACATCATCATTATAACAACCTAAAAATAAAAAAAATAAAAAAATAATTACTTATTTTACAGATCAATCTGTCTCTTTGACCTTGTGCAAGTGCACGTATATGTATAAGACAATGATTTTGAAATATTCAATTACAAAATCAGATGGTTTTGTTCTCTTTTGATGGTTCTTAAAATCATTTTCATAACAGGGTAGACAACCCCAATACTTATGTTGGTAATAATTCTAACTCAATTACTGTAAATTCAGAAACTATTGCAATGTTTTTATTATTGCGAAAAATGCAACATGGTTGTATTGGCAATTATTTAAACTAGCATTTTGAAATTTTTTATATGAATTAAACAGGATTTTTCTCAGTATCGCAAAAATTAAAATCGCATTTTAGTCAAAAACACAAAATCGCAATTAATGAATGGTTTATGATTATTTATTTTGAATTTATTGAACCATAAAATTAACTTTAAGCGGATTATGTAAAATGTGAAGAGTCAAAATTACTTTTATGGTTCAATAAATTCAAAATAAATTATAGCCATTCATTATAAATAAATTTCTATCAAAAATAATGCTCAAAGAACTTTTTATATTATTTATATTAACCATAACAACCTACACGGATGTTGGCATATGAATACTGTAAATTCAGAAATTATTGCGTGCATTTATTATTGTGATTTTGTCATTTTCGACTAAAATGCGTTTTTAATTTTTGCGATATTGAGAAAAATGCTGTTTAATTCATATAAAAAATTTTCAAAATGCGATTTTAAATTATTGGTATTATAACCCTGTCGCATTTTTCGCAATAATAAAAACATCGCAATAATTTCTGAATTTACAGTATACAACATCAGAGTGGGTGGTCGCCATAAAAATTGACAACATTGAAAATAAAAGTAATACTTTTAACCAATCAGAAGACAGTAAATACACCAAATTTATTTATTAATAATTGCACGCAATAATTTCTGAATTTACAGTACCTTTAACTTGTTTGCCATTGGCTATCGATAACAGTGATTTTACGCTCACTCAGTGTGTCAGAGGCCTTCCAATAGGGATTTAAATAGAACAAGAAATGATTGTAACAGGATGCTGTTACGAAGTCTCCCAAACGAAGCTCCCATAATTCGTAATTCCCAGGGTCGCCTGACATTGGGCAACGTCCAGTGAAAATTGGTTTGGTCCAGTAAAGTTATATGCATTAGTGATGCCTGGTACTTAACCTTGTATATCATTCAAATCATCTTGGCATGACAAACCAGAATATATATGGTTTAGGGGTAGGGATCTGGACCATTTACAAGATACTAGAACATTGGGGGTGGGGAGGAACCCCTGGGGACTGGCCCTATACGTCATTCAAATGTTCATTACATGACGAACAGGAATATATATGGTTTAGGGGTGGGGATCTCAACCATTTACAAGATATTAGAACATTGGGGGTGGGGGGAACCCCTGGGGACTGACCGTATACGTCATTCAAATGTTCAAGACATGACAAATAGGAATATATATAGTTTAGGGGTGGGGATCTCAACCATTTACAAGATATTAGAACTTTCTTAAATGGCAGGGGGTGGGGGTGACCACTGGGGACTAACCCTGTATTTCATTTGATGTGCTTTATCCTGGCAAACCAGAATATATATGGTTTAGGGGTGGGGAATTCGACCATTTACAAGATATTAGAACTTTCTCAAATGGCAGGGGGTTGGGATGACCCCTGGGGACTAACCCTGTATATCATTCAAACCATCTTAGCATGACAAACCAGAATATATATGGTTTAGGGGTGGGGATCTTGACCACTTAGAAGATATTAGAACTTTCTTAAATGGCAGGGGTTGGGGGTCAGCCCTGGGGACTAACCCTGTATTACATTTGATGTGTTTTATCATGACAAACCAGAATATATATGGTTAAGGGGTGGGAACCTCGACCATTTACAAGATATAACTTTCTCAAATGGCAGGGGGTCGGGATGACCCCTGGGGACTAACCCTGTATATCATTCAAACCATCTTAGCATAACAAACCAAAATATATATGGTTTAGGGGTGGGGATCTTGACCACTTACAAGGTATTAGAACTTTCTTAAATGGCAGGGGGTGGGGGTGACCCCTGGGGACTAACCCTGTATTTCATTTACTGGGCTTTATCATTTAGAACATTTTCAATTAAAAAGATTGTGTCTATCACAAACGGTTTTCAATTTATAATCATTTGAAAATGTTAAGAAATAAAATCCCATAGGGTTCTATAGTAAAACCCTCTTTTCTTTTTGCCCCTCAAAGTACCCCTTTATAAACCCCATTGCACAAACAAAACCCTGATTGCACCACTAGACATGTTAGTCTAACATATTGTGAAACCCTAAGTTAATCTGACAAGCGGTTTTGGAGAACGGGTGCGGACAAGTTCAAATTTAAAAGCGGCGGAAGAAGAAGAAGAAGAAGAAGAACTAGATTTGCCATTGCAAGCAATAGCGGATGTCACCCTTCCCCCCATTGCCTCTAAGCGGCAACCATTTTGAAAATTTTAAACAGTGAATGGACATATTTGCATGGCTTTACATCTTTCTGTAAATTTTCAGAACATTAGGAGCATTTTGAAATTTTTACACAATTTTGCTGTTTCCATGGCAACGGCGGCCATTTTGAAAATTCAAAAGCCAGAAGTCTCATTTATACTTGCCAGTTAACATTTATATTAAGTTTCATAAAGTTTGGAGCATTTTGAAATTTTTGAACATTTTTGAATTTGTGCTGTTTCCATGGTAGCAGTGAGCGATTCTAAAATTTTAAAGACAGATGCAACTTTGGCAGATGACCAGGAATATACCATGAAAGAATCATGGAATTTGACCTACCATTATAAGTGAGTAAATGCTACTTTTAAGAATTTCCCATAGGGGCTAATGGTAAATGTTTCTCCAGTTTCCATGGTAATGGCAGCCATTTTGGAACTTCTAAATATGGTCAAAACATCTTGGCATGCCAGGCTACATTCCACTAAAGTTTCATCCAGTTGGGTCTCATAATGAAATTTAAGATTTAATGGATTTGCAATTTTTATTTTTTTTTCACATTTTTTCTGTTTCCATGGTAACGGCAGCCATTTTTTGGTTCCAAAGTTGCACTGCAACTCGAAAGTCAGGGTTCCTTGTTATAGTGCCCCATCATTTAGATTGGTTCCTTTGGCTCTGAGAAAACGGGCGGACAAAATTAGGTGGAAGAAAAATAATAATAATAATAATAATAATAGGGAAAAAGAAACAGAGGAAAAGCAATATGTCACCCGACATTGTCGATCGGGTGACATAATAATAATAATAACTGAGCAAAAACAAAAACAACTTCCTTTGGGAGACTTAATAAAAGAGCAAAGTACATGTAGGCCCAAGAGAAGAAAAAAAGAAAATTATTCAACATTTAAATCAACACACAAGGTTTAGTCCTCTGCTAGTAATTCGTACTATTTGATGTAGGCATTTAGAACCTTTGGCGACCCCAGTTTAAATGTCTATAACAGTCATTCAATGTGACAAGTGGGCGTTACAGACAAACTTTCACCTTATCTGACCCAGTCAATAGATAACATAAGAGCACCAAGAAATTGTCTTGTCCACGCTTTTATGAAAATGATTCTATATCAATTCAATATTCAAACAGTTGCAGACTGCATGAAATTTTGTTTGACCCAAATAAGTTTACAAATTCATTGATAATAACTTGCATACAATTGGTTTCTATCCAACACAGCTCACTCGATACCAGACAGAAAACAAATGTAAGACTAGATACTCTAAAAATCAAACACTGATAGAAAAGAACCCTTAAAAAATAATGTTAAATGCCTATATATATATTATTACCATAAAATTTGTGGAATATATAAACTTACCACATATTTTTCATGGTAAAGCCTCAGATTTGGTGAAGATTAAATTGACCATCTCCCTTAGAGCTGCTCTCCCGGCTGACAAGGTGGCTCTCCTCATCATTTTAACATCTTTTTTTTTAAATATAGTTTTATACATTAAATATATCAGATGCATTTCCATAAATACCCTTTCTTGAAAATTTCAGCAAATCAATTGTTAATGACCCAAGATTTCTCCCACCCTGCATACTTATTATCTAGAGCTCTGCTTACATTTATCTTTTTTTATTACAGAGCTCTAAATAATAGTCAATATTAGCTAGTATACATCTGATATTAAAAAAAAATGTACAAACATGAATATCCAAGTAAATGAAAATCCTAACATTGAGGGAATTTCAAGTATGTGGAGTTAAACAGGGGTATAATAAATTGCCTCCCTTTGACCCAAATTTCACCCTGTTCGGACTCCACATACTTGTTATATTAAACAAAATAAATAAAATAGTACAATTAAAATTAAAAAATAGATTGATTACAAAAATCTAACACATTTCAATAAAATATTTCGTACTGATCGAATTATAGTGGCAGAGTGGTCCTATAAGTAGTTCAACTACTGTATCACTAGCCTGTCAACACTGAGAACCCTCACATAAAATGTGTAACTTCATTCTTAATTTGACTAGGGTTTTGTCGTTTCCCTGATGAAGGTGATGTTTTCACCAGGCACTCTGGCTGTCTCCACAAATAAAAATTTACAGCCAAAATTATAGTAAATCATGTTAAAGTGGTGTTTAACACCAAAAATCAACCAATCCAATTTCAACAAGATGTTCTTCAACTATGCCTTTTGTAAAATTATTCTTCAAAAAATATCACCTTGGTTACAAACCAAAATCAGCTAAAAATGACAAAAAAAGTGCAAAAAATATATTTCTAACTTCTTAACTTCGTAAATTCCTCTGCATTAGAGCACCCTTGTCACATATCTTAAAGATATTAAAATTAACATGAAAGAAGAGGTTGTAAGGGGATATATTTACTGCAGACCATTATTCATCTTTTTAGTTTACACTAGAGAGGCATTTGCTATGGTAAGGTATTTTGAAATGTTGCAAAAAAACAACAAAAATAATTAAAAATTTTTGCTAAGAAATTTAGTGGGAATATTCACATCTGCAGATTTAATTGCATTAACTACATGTATAAAGTAACTTGTAAAATTTGAAAGTATCTCAAATCCTAAAATAACAAAAAGATGGCAAAAATATATACATTACAATTTGCAAAAAAAAAATACATTTCAATAATTGAACATTTTTTTTTCATTTTACTTTCTTTTTCTTTTAGATTATCCATTCTTAAACTGCTGAAAGTGTTTTGACTAGACATGAGTATAAACGGAAAATAGAAAGAATTTATGAAATGTCAAATACAAGTAAACCTACAACTTCCAATTTTGTTGAAAATGGAGAATCTTTACATTTTTTTTTTTTTTTTTTTGTAAAAAAATTATAAATATTTTATCAAGTATACACAAAAATAGTCTGAATTACATTCTTTACTGTTGCAGTTATATCAAACAACCATTTTATGCAGCCACAGTTATCTGAAAAAGAAATATAATCCATTACTCATGAACATTGAAATAATATTTAATTCAAAACAATTATAATTAACTGAGCATTACAATTATAATGTATAGAACATTTCTTTTTCTTTGTTATAAAGTGATTTGTTGACATAAATTTTAAAGCACCAGTATTTCTTAGCAATAAAAGGATGAAAAACAAGTCATTGGCTGACGTCTTGACAAATATTTTTTTAACATTGTTTTATAGCTATATATAGTTTATCAGGCTGTTGACATACTTGATTGAATTTTTTAACATTTAGTCATGTTGAACCTTTATAACTAACTATACAATATAGGTTTTGCTCATTGTTGATGGCATAGGGTGACATTTAGTTGCATCCACATCATTTGGTCTCTGGTTGATAGCTGTCTCATTGGCATACATACCACACTTACATATTTTCATATATGAGGACAACTATAGATAACAAAAAAACTGAAATCCCAAGATTTCGCATTATACATTATACTTTTTGACTTCCCTTATATATCTTTATATCTCCTTCTAAATTGTTTATTCAACTATAAGTAAAGAAGACATTAATATGTAAGATTTACATCTGTGCCTAACAAAATTCTTGGGCTTTAAAATGCTCTTGAATGAAAAGTTCATAAATCTATGTATTGATTCTTACCATAAAAGTCAGCTCCAATGCCCACTCCCAGCTTCAATCCTTACAGACAAGCTGTGATGCTAATCTGAAATATAAAATGATAATTCATTAATAAAACCCTGTAACTCGGAAACGTAAAATCTAAAATTTATAAAAATCGAAAGAGAGCTCATATCAATAGATATAAACAATTCACCACAATTTCTTACAAGTTGGTGAAAGCATTCTTGAGTTATTGTCCGAAAACTGGAAAACTCCCTTTTTTTAATGAATAAAACCCAATAACTCGGAAACATAAAATCTAAAATTTATAAAAAACGAAAGGGAGCTCACTTCAATAGATATAAACAATTCACCAAAGTTTTATGCAAATTGGTTAAAACATTTTTGAGTTAATGTCCAACATGTTGACGGATGGACAGACGGACGGACGGACAACGGTATACCATAATACCTCCCGTAAACAGGTGTATAAAAACTGTTTAAAAGGTTCTTTGTTGGTATTATGTATGTATATTGAATAGATTGAATGATTGGTTGTTGGTTGCTTAAGGTCCAGTGGCAAATCATTAAATAGAAATAGTCTTAAAATGTGTTATATATGTCAAGAACATATGGATGAGACAGCAATCCAACAAGCCAACACATTTTTATGTAAACAATTCAGATCCTAAACTTTACTCTTATTTGGTTACTGATATAATGAGTAGATTCCTGTAAAAAATCTTTTAAGCGTTCAAATCTTGTTTTTCCATAAAATATTTATAATACATTTGAGTTTTCCAAAATAGGACTAACATACTGGTACATACCTTTGTATTAGCTGTATAAGACCACCAAGTCTTATTCCCACACCATGAAAACATGTCTCAGAAAGAACCTGAAATGAAATTATAATCAACACATTATACATTTTGTAAATCAATTTATGTGTTACAGATAACCTAAAATTTACTAAATATTGTTCTGATATCTTATTGCAGGTAGACAATTGTATAAAATCATTTTTTTTTAAATCAATATAAAAGATAGAAAAGTAAAAAAAACGTCAGATTTAAATTTAACTGCATAAAAAATATCTGAATATTTCACAAAGTTATCTCCCATTGAATGCAAAATCGTGTTTTAAATTGTACTGGTCTTTTCTTGGTTTAATGACTATTTTTAGGATTTACTATTGATATTTTAATAGAAAATCTTGTTCATGTATCTTGTATCTTTAAATACTAATTTAAACTGGTAAATTAATTCATCAATGGTGTTTTAAGTGCAATATTTCAGAAGGGTCTGTTATCTTAAAAGATCTGGCTAAAATAAACTTGCCTTTTCTATTTTCATGGTAAAGAGTCAGACTTGGTTGAAGATTTAATTGACCATCTTCCTAAGAGCTGCTATCCTGGCTGACAAGGTGGTTCTTCTCAATATCTTATTGTCAATCTATGTTGTGTCCATTTGTTTTTAGAAAATAAAGTAACATATATAAAAAATATCAGATGCACTTTCAATTAATAATCTTTTTGAAAAATTTCACGTAATTATTTTAAGTGACACATAATTTTTCCCACCCTAAATTTCTATTATCTAGAAAACATCTGATATGTAAAAAAGTGCATAAATTTGAGTATCCAAGTAAATGAAAATCTAACATTGAGGGAATTTCAAGTATTTGAAGTTAAACACAGTATAATAAATTACCTCCCTTTGACCTAAATTTCACCCTGTTAGAACTCCACATCTTTGTTATATATAACAAAAAAACAAATAGTATACCGGTGAACAAAATAAAAAAATAATTAAAATTACAAAAATTCAACACATTTCAATAACATATTTAGTGCAGATGGATTAATGGTGGCTGAATGGTCAAAGTAGTTCAACTACTGCATCACTAGCCTGTCAACACTCTGAACCCTCACATTGTAGGTGTGTTTAACGTCAATCTTAATTGACTAGAGTTGCCAGTTTCTCTGTTGAAGGGGATGTTTTCACCAGGCTGTCTCCACAAAAAAAAACTGGCAGCCAAGATATAGCAAATCATGCTGAAAGTGGTGTTAAATACCAAAAATCAATCAATCTACTTTCATCAAAGATATTCTTCAACTATTCTTCTTGTAAAATATTCTTAAAATAATATACCCTTTCTTATAAAGTCAGCTAAAAATGACACAAAGGTGAAAAAATATATTACAATTTGCAAAAATAAAAAACATTTCAATAATTGAACATTTGTTTCTTTTTTTTTTTCTTTTTTTTTAGATTCTCCATTCTTAAACTACTGGAAGTGTTTTACCTAGACATGAGTATGAACAGAAAATAGAAAGTAATTTTTGAAATTTCAAAGACCTATTAACCTACAACTTCCAATCTTGTTGAAAATGGAGAACCTGTACATAATTTTTTTTTTCTTTTTGTAAAAATTATAAACATTTTCTCAAACATACACAAAAATAGTCTGAATTACATTCTTTACTGTAACTGTAAAATCACATAGCCCTTTTATGCAGCCACAGTTACCTGAAAAAGAAATATACAGAATTAAACGTAATCGTCAAAATCTGAAAATTGAAACTATATCAAATGCAAAATAATAAATAACTGGTCATTATAATCATGATTCATAAAACATTTCTCTTACTTTGTTTAAAAGTGATTTGCTGATATATTTTTTGAACTACCAGTCTTTATTAGCAGAAAAGGATGAAAAACAAGTCAATGGTAGATGTCTAACATATTTCTTTTTTTACATATTGTTTTTTTTTGTATTGGTTCTTACCATAAAAGTCAGCTCCAATGCCCACTCCCAGCTTCAATCTTTACAGACAAGCTGTGATGCCAACCTGAAAAAATAAAATGATTAGTCATTCAAGATTGTTTAAAAGGATAATTTTTGATATACTGTATGTATATTCCATATTTTGAATGATTGATTCATTTGATTGTTGGTTGCTAAATGTCCAGTGGCAAATTAAATAAAAGTCTATAAATATGTAATAGAAGTTGAGAACAGCAATTCAGCATCCCAACAAACTTTTACATAATCAAATCAGATAATTAAATTTACTCCTTTAAAGGCAATTAATGAAAGCAAAGACTTAATTCTTACCAAACTCCTACAAACCTTCACGCTTAGAGCACATGCTATTTCCAAATACATTTTATAATACTTTTTCTTTTTTCAAAACAGGACTAACATACTGGTACATACCTTCGTATTAGCTGTTTTAGACCACCAAGTCTTATTCCCACACCATGAAAACATGTCACAGAAGAATCTAAAAAGAATTAAAAAAGACACATTATATATTTTACAAATCCATTTCTCTATAAATATGAAGTCACTATATAATGTTCTGATTTCTTACAAAATGTACACAATAGTATCAACACAAGTTTGTAAGATAAACTGTTGACAGAGATGTCTCGCCTAGCAGTGGAAAATGAAAAACATCTGATGATTAGCAACATTGCTAATTAATTCGATAATTTGTTAGTAATGCAAATAAATACAAAATGTCATTGATCTATAGCAAGGAGTAACTATTAACCTGACTAAACAGAAAACTTGACATAATAAAAATAAAACAAGTCAAAGGTTTTTGTTTGGAATTTAACTGCACAAAAGTGATGTGCAAATTTAACAGTTATATCCCATTGAATGAACAAATCTTGCTGTTAATTGTACTTGTCTCCCCTTGAAGTTTTAAATATCTTGATCGAAAATCTTGTTAAAGAAAATGGTAACTTAAATTATAAAACTTATTAAAATTAATACATCAATGGTGTTTTGCATGCAGAAGATCAGAAGGGTGCTGGCGTGTTGTCTTAATATGCACTTCTTGTCGAATATTTCTAGAAAATGTATACAAATATTTGGCTTAAATAAACTTGCCTTTTTAATTTCTTGGTAAAGCCTCAGACTTAGTTGAAGATTTATTTAACCATCTTCCTTGGAGCTGTTATCCTGGCTGCTTTCAAAGGTTTTCCATCATAGTTTTTTTATGCTAATCAGTCTACTGAATCCATTTTATCTAAGTAATGAAATGTCCTTTCCATTGTACATTATAAAATGTACAATAGTCACCAGAATGTTCCAAGGCATCTCACATTATTTTTCCAATCATGGAAACTGAAGAAATTCTCAATTTAAAATACAATTAATTTATTAAATTCATTTAAAAAGTACTGTAAAAAATTACCAGACATGCTTTTAAACAGGTAACTTGTATTTAGATAATTTACGAAATGTATTCTGTACCCAACAATTTCTTCCACTCATTAAAAGTATATTTTAGAACTAATAATGTTTACATTTTTTTTTATTTACAGAGCTCTAGATAATAGCTTTTGTATAAGTTACCAGACATCTGATATGAAAATACTTATACAAATGTAAGAAAAAAAAGTACAGTGTTAGTAAATAAGTATAATAAACACATATAAATCAACATTTTTAAAATATTTTGAAGCATATTTTAATCAAAAATAGCTCATTTTCAAGGTTTACTACTCATGTACATAGTAGTCATGTATAGTCCCAAAATTTTTAAAAGTCTCTATAGATTTGCAAACTCTCTGAATTCCAAAAAATATGGGTTAAAAACTATTTATTTTACCTTTGATGAAAAATTACCATAGTACCAAGTGGACAACTTAAATATTTGTACAATCATTGTGTGAAGTTAAAAAGATTGAGATTGAAAACTGCAGGAGTTGATTACACAAAATCAGTACCATCTTTGAAAATGTTGGAAAACAATCATCAGGATCAGAATTAAGGGAAAAATGGGGGGAAATTCCTCAAACAATTTCATATAAGCAGGTACACAACTTCAAAATGTACGCAATTATTCTGTGAAGTTTCAGTGGTACAAGAAAAAGAAGCTGAAATGAAAAAATACAAATATGATACAAAATGATATTACATGTATCAAGTATGAAATCTTTAGATTTAATAAAAAAATTTAGAAAGAAAAAATTAAGAACTCAAAGAAATGATATAAATACTGATCTTTATAATAAGAATTAATTTCAATACTTTATAATTTAAATTAATTTCAAAACTCAAATGGCACGTAATACTTCAATAAAATAGATTTTTACTTTTAACTTTAGTTTTATACTTGAAAGAAAAATAGTAGCAAAATTTACAATTGAAAAAGTAAAATTTTTTGTTCCCAGATTATTTATAATAGCATTTTTGATTGGTTATATCAAAATTTGTTTTATGTAAGATTACTTCCAATGACTTTTGTCAGAAAAAAAGGAAAATCACTGATATCTTGACAATAATGGACTGAGGCAAGGTTACTGCACTCTCCAGAATCATTGGTTCCTTACATGGATAAGAACCAGAAGCAGCCAATATACAGACTTACAGGAATCAGCTCTTTTTTTCTACCGGAAAAGAAAACAGATTACCAGTTAAATCTAAAATAGTCTGGTTATCTTAAACTTTTTAGTGGTTAAATCCCCAAAGTCTGAAACAGGGTCTAATATAAATCTAAAACTGCTTGGTTAACATAACTGATCGTAAGCTATCGCTCAGGCAAAAATAATCACGTATATAATGCCTACTCATGTTAAAACTACAATAAAGTATAGCTTGCAACAATTATTTCTTAATCATTATGGACTAATGGAAAACTCCTTTGAACTAATGAGGCTCAAGTTGGATCCCCGTTAAAGAGTCAAGCTCTTAGATTACTCTTTGTCTGGCCATGAGTTTCAAAAAGAATCCAATGAAGAATAGCTGCAGTCAGTTATTGATAATTGGGTTTTACTTATTTTATTTTTTTAAAGTATTTTATGATGGCAAGTGCTTTACCTATATTGTAATTACCAAATTTGAAAAAAATAGAATAGTTTGATACCAAGGAGCAAATTAATTTATGTTGTAATTCAAACTGTATGACAGGCTTAAGATCAGTCTAATACTTTTTCAATAAAAGATCAAAATTGTATAAAATGAGCTATATTTCTACAAACTTATGATTTGAAATTTGAAATTTTTGTGTTGTACAATCTACTCCTTTTCATAGATATAAGAAGATGTGGTATGAGTGCCAATGAGACAACTCTCCATCCAAGTAAAAATTTATAAAAGTAAACCACTATAGGTCACATGATAAATAGAATAAAATAGATCAGTTTTCAGCTTCTTTTTTGTGATCTTGAAATGATCCTGCTCACTGTCAATACTTTTGATTGCAAAAAAGAAAAATTGTTTCAAGAAGCTGGACAAAATTATCCTTTAATATATTGATCACAGAATGGCTTTGGAAGTTAAAAAGATTAATTTTCTATTAAACAGGAAATTTTTACAAAGAAATGCTTAAACTCAAGACAATTTAATTTTACAAATTACGATGAGCAATTGTTAAATGGATACCAGTTGTCAATTATGGTCTCATAATAATGAAGTTATCATTAAATGTCTGGAATCTGTGGATAGAAACCTAGTGTTGAAGGTGAGAGTTGAAAATTAACTCAAGGTTGAGACGCTTGAAGCAAAGGGAGATAACTACTGTAAGATATCGGGATTGATAAGTTATATAACACTTCACTTGGAGATGATGATAGTTTCAGATAACTCAAAATGAAGTTTTTAGGGTAATGGAAATCATTATAAATTTCGTTGGTTATCACAACGAGATTGATTTTCTCCTTTGAGCCGGTACCGCGAAAGTGAGAAAAACAATCAAGTTGAGATGACCAATGATAATCTGTTTATCGCTATTTTGCTTATGACGACGTTGAAATTTACATGACAATGGCACGTGCAGCCTTAGTTTCTAGAGATACTTTCCATATCTTTCTACTATGTTGAGAAAGGAAATTATCAGTAAGATCAAAGGAAAATTCAGTAAAATAGTGATGATAATATATATATCATAGAAATTAATTATTGTTCACCAAATATTAAGACTTGTACAAGCTTTCAGTGAGTGTCAGTCATGTAAGAATTAATAACCTTTGCAATTATGTTTATAACTCTATAATAAATGTACATTAAACATCCAAATTCTTTTTTATATGGCAGAATTTTCGTTATGGCTTGACTGTTATAAAAATCTATTTTCACTTCTTTATTATCTTAATAGCGATCAGTGCTTTAAAGATGTAGATACCCAGAAACAATTTTGAAGAAGATAAAGTATATCTAAAAAACTTTTGGGATCATTTTCCACTTCCCCTGAATTCAACTTAATTTACCAGAATATGTTATCTAGTTTTCCATTTCATCATAATATGTCAAATACAATTTAGATTTTGATTTTGATTGAAGATATTCATTTTCAATTTTGAAAATAAGAAATTAAAGAAAGTATGAAAATCGTACAGATTCAAAGTTCAAAGCAGCTTTATGCACAAACATTTGATTATTTTTTTTATGACTAGAAATATCAAATATTTTTCATTTCAGAATTACATATATAGATTCCTTCGAATGGTAAACACCACACCCTAAATACCTCAAAACCAAAGAACCATCCAAAGAACAACTGAAACAAACAAGATATAACAAACCCTACTACTTAAACACCAATAAGCAACTTTGTTATATGTTAGTAAAGACACGCAGCGCTCCAAGCATAATGTATTTCTGAAATGATCATTTGATATTTGTTAAGTCTACACCAAAACTCTGAAGATAAAGAATGTTTTGCTACGGAACTTTGCATGCACTAGACTACGAGTTTAAATCAATTTCAAGTACTATGTTGTTCTATAATCTGACAACTACAATGCTTTGAAAATGTAAAAATTTTAGGAAAATTATTATTTCATTATAAATCTGAAATTTTAATTTAAATGACATCTTTTTTTTTTTTAACAAAAAACCAAAAAAAATGCATTTACTCATTATCTTTTGATTCTGCCATTTTTCCTCAGCGTTTAGTATTTTTGTGATTTTACTTTTTTTTCACCACACTGATAGACCTTTAAGACAATGTTAAAAAAAAAACTTTCAATCGTTGGATCAAATGACAGTCTGTAGTGGTGAAAATATAGAGAAATTAATCATAACCAGGATAAACCTCATCTGAAGTTATTGCAACTATCATCATCTCTGTATTGATAACTTTTAATATTAAATTAACACCCCAAATATAAAGAAGGCGTTATACCCTGGGTTAATCTCCAACTTCTATATTTTGCTTCTTATGTTGTTGCACATTAATAGATGCATAATTTAACTATTGAAAATTATGGACAAATCTTTTACTGTGTTCAAGAAAAGATAGACATGTTTTGAGTAAAGAGGTACTTGGC